CACAGAAGGGTCACAAGGAAGAGATGAGACAGTCAGTGTGCAGTATAGCCCCGATGAAACATACAACTTTTCTTTAGTTCTTTAATGCTTCTTCTCCCCCACTATCGTGACCCCAATTCTACCTTACAAATCTGGTTAGACCAGAGCATGTACACTGGTACAGATAAGAGCTCACAACACAGGGAATCCAGGACAGATAAATCCCTCAGGACCAATAATGAAAGTAGTGATACCAGGAGGATAGGGGGAAGGTGGAGGGAGAAGGGGAAACTGATTTCAATGATTGACATATAACCTGCCCCACCCTGCCCCCCTGGGGGACGAACAACAGAAAAGTGGGTGAAGGAAGACAGCGGCCGGTGTAAGACATGAAAAATAAATAGTTTATAAATTAGCAAGGGTTCATGAGGGAGGGGGAAATAGGGAGGGAGGAGAAAAATGAGGAGCTGATACCAAGGGCTCAAGTAGAAAGAAAATGTTTTGAGAATGATGATGGCAACATGTGTACAAATGTGCTTGACCCAATGGATGGATGGATGGATGGATGGATGGATGGATGGATGGATGGATGTATGGATTGTGATAAGAGCTGCAAGAGTCCCCAGTAAACTGATTTAAAATGAAAATGTTTTGGAGATGACGATGGCAACATGTGTACAAATGTTCTGGATGCAATTGATGTTATATGGATTGTTATAAGAGCTGTAAGAGTGCCCAATGAAATGATTTATTAAAAAAAACATTTGACATAATGATTATAATGTTTCTAAAGCCTTATATAAGAGTTGTATAATGTCTCTAAAACTTATAGATGTCTCTAAGGACTTATATAAACAATAGACACTTTAGGCTTGCACTTAACCATAGCCCTATTCTTAGAACAATTAGTACTTATGACCTCACCCTATTTGCTACTTGCCCTCATTAAAATATCACTGAAGTTAGGGGTGCTATAGCAAAATGTAGTTAAGCAGCCAGCTTGGTGGCTAACTATCAGAAAGAGTAGTGCCTGTCCTCAAACAGGGGGCCAGTTCACTGTCCCTCAGACCCGTTGGAGGGCTGGACTATAGTTTAAAAAAAACCATGAAAAAAATCCTATGCACACTGCACATATCTTATTTTGAAGTTAAAAAACAAACAGGGCAAAAACACCCAGCAGGCCGGATAAATGTCCTCGGCGGGCCACATGTGGCCCGCGGGCCATAGTTTGAGGATGCCTGGCCTAGGGTCTTAAGACTTCTCTTCAAACAAGCAGCCATCTAAGAGTGCTGTCAACTAAGTCCGCATAAAAGAAGCACACCACATTTACATATTTCTTTTTTATGGTTGCTTTTGTTCTGCAATGGAAGAACCGAGTAGTTATAATAGACACCATGTGGCTAGTAAAACTTAAAGTATTT